CCGACCACGTCAACATGGCCTGGCCAGCTCTGCGGCATATGCCGACTCTACGACCATGGTCGTGCTACGCTATTACTATAGCCCCCCATCTTATCCTCTCAGCCACGTTAGCTACATGTCACGTAGATAAGCACGACCAAGGATAGGAGGAGGGAGGATGACAACTCCGTTGGGGAATAGGACTCTATCCCAAAGACCTCAGCGATTAACCTCATCCCGGCAACCCCGGGAGCCCAATTCGACCAGGACACACACCTCTAGCTATGAAAAGGTATCTCCCGCTCAAGGTAAGGGATTTTGACTTTTAGCACCCATACTGTTATTTTGCTCAAACCAACACCTTTATTGCTCGACCCAACCATTCACCATCCTCTACTGACTTGAGCGTCAGAGTATCTACCCAGGGATAACTCCTTGGACTTCTGACACCCTTTCTTAATCACAGGTCTTGAAACGTGGCTCAGTCCTATCACCTCAGCTCTGCCCTATTGGCAAGGACTATCTGACTACCCTCCTCGGTTCGTGCACCACCTCGGATCGAACAGCAATAGATTGGCGTCGTCTGTGGGAACACACAAAAAGCTTTTCCTAAAATCTCTTCCTTATCGCACAACCAAGAAAGTGATCAAGATGCCCAAGAACCAGTCCGAGCGACCGACAGGCCGATCCCCATCTCGAGAATCTCGCTATCGCAACCCTCCACACCAAGAAATCCTGCAGCCCCTAGTCGCGGTTGACCTTGCACAATTCCAAGCAATGCAAGAAAAGGTTGACAAGATCTTTGAGATGATGCAGACGATGGGTTCCGCGGCATCGCCCAACTAGGTCGTCCCTCCTCACACCCCGACGCGTACGAAGGACGATCCTCACCCTAAGGACCCCAAAACGCGCCGAAGCGCAACACAGGCTGCACAACACACGCATAGCTTGGCACACAACACTGACTCGACTAATCTTTAAATGGCCTGAGCCCGCGACGTATAGCTCGGCAGTGTATCACTAACCAAGTAAACCGCCTCGATTGTCCACGGCCCGAGCCTAAAGCAGAGAAGAATGCCCCTACCCATCATGGCCTGAGGGCGGTCATTGAACTCCACACATCCATTGACTAACAATTAGACCAAAGCTAGCTAAGCAACAACCAACCCTCAATGAGCCAAAAAGCTCCCGAGACTAGTAATTGAGCGCCGCAAATATGAGAGCTCGAAACATACTCTAGCCCCACTAACCGAAGATTGAAGATCTCGGCCACAACAAGACTGAGGAACCCAACTGGAAAAAAAAAATAAAGAGAACCCACACTGCATCCCAACCAGGCACTCCATTCTTCGACTTCAGAACTAGGGGAGTGGTATTCAGATTCCAAAATGTCGGGTATTTGTTCCTCAGCCAAAAAATGAAGAGCCCTTCCGCGACGCAGCATAGCCAAGCATCAGAGAGGTCCAGACTTCGATGCCCAATTTAGCTCCTCGCACCTAACCAGGGTAAACGACCGTGCAATGCCTCGGCTGAGCACTCCTCTCACGACCGCACAATGCCTTGGCCAAGCACTCCTCTCATGACCGCGTAATGCCTCGGTTGAGCACTCCTCTTACAGTCGCGCAATGCCTCAGCCGAGCATTCCTCTCCTCGACTTCAAAATTGGGGGAGTGGTGTTCGGATTCTGAAATTTGAATTCTCAAAGTTTCGTAGCCGACGATTGAAGAGCTCCTCAACCACAACCCACATTGCGCAAGTGACAAGTTCTGCCAAGCACCAAGGAATGCGAGGCAAACAAAACGCTCAACCAGGACTTCAACTTGGAGTTCCTTAGCCGAGAAACAAAGCACCCAGTCGTGCTACACCTCGGCCGAGCACTTCATTCCTCGACTTCAGAACTGGGGGAGTGGTGTTCGTGTCATGGTTGAGCTAGCCTTAGACGACACGTGGCTGCCCAGTCATTGCTTGGTCATCCCCAGCCATGTTAGCATGGCCCGGCCAGCTTTACGACATACATCAACTCTGTGGCCGTGGCCGCGCTACGCTATTGCTGTAGCCCCCCATGTTATCCTCTTAGCCACGTTAGCTATATGTCACGCGGATAAGCACGACCAAGGATAGGAGGAGGGAGGAGGACAACTCCGCTGGGGAATAGGACTCTATCCCAAAGGCCTCGGCGGTTAATCTCATCCCGGCAACCCTGGAAGCTCAATCCAACCAGGACATGGACCTCTATCTATAAAAAGGTATCTCCTGTTCAAGGTAAGGGATTCCGACTTTTAGAACCCATATTGTTACTCTGCTCAGACCAACACCTTTATTGCTCGGCCCGACCATTCACCACCCACTACTGACTTGAGCATCGGAGTATCTACTCGGGGATAATTCCTCGGGCCTTTAACACCCTTTCTTGATCACAAATCTTGAAGCACAGTTTTGTCCTACCACCTCGGCTCTACCCTATTGACAAGGACTATCTAACTGCCTTCCTCGATTCGTGCACCACCTTGGATTGAACTCCTTCCAAACTGAGCCTCTAAATGAGAACAAAAGTAAAATTCTAGGAGTGACAACAAGGTATATAATAAGATGTCAGACACCCTAGCTATACATGCCTGGTTAAATCAACCTCTGCTCACTAAGGGAATAAATAACTTGTGGGTTAAAATACTTGGAAATACACAATAAAACAAAGAAAACAATTAACAAACAAACAACACATTTAATGAGGAAAACAAATTAACAAATTTTAATTGTGTTATCTATCTATGATCATAGTTCAGTAGGTGAACTAGCCGCAGTTTGATTAACCAATTAATATCATTGTTTAGAAAATCAGATTGGACCAGACTGGTCAGACGTGTTTAATTATGACCTAGCCCTTTGGATTGTTCAATCATATACTGAAATTCATAATTCATGAAAAATCAGTCAAAACTAGATGATTATCTGGTTTAACCAAAAAACCAATGAACTAGTCCTAGTTTTATAAAATCACCTGGGCCATACATAATTAGATAGAAACTTCAAAATGTTGATAAGAAAACCTGAATCCAAGACCTCTTATGTAAGTGTATATATTGTTTGGTTACCATTAATTCATCTTTTTGTTTACATTTATTTATGCTTCTTTAATATTTTTTTGCTTTAATGCACATATATTCTAGAGAAAATGTGAATTAACAGACTTGAATTTTGACCATTTATTTTACAAACTTAAAAACAAGTCATCTATCCACTAGCATATTCCTTCCATTGTCACTAAAAGCATATCTTCCTGTCCACGAGGGTGAGTGTGGCATTGGGGCTTTTCTAAGACGACGAAGAAGTGTAGAGAAGAAAGCTATGATGGTTACAAATTGAATGAAGCCCAACTCAAAGCTCACTATAAGTGAAAGTTTTCTCCGGACTATAAACCACAGGCTTAGAATTAGTTATATTCTACATTTTGTAACAATGTTTTAAATCGATCTAGAACCCGAACCGCTTTGGCCACCAGTTTCTGGGTCAATGTTTCGATCGTTTGGTTTGAATGGGCAGCCAGTTGTAATTAAAAAATAAAAAATAATTAAAATAAAAACTGGCCAAAAATTGTTGTCTGGGTTGAACGGGGTTAACAATTTGATCACCTAGGTCAACGGATTCTTGACTAAGTCAATGGTTTTTGGCCAAAGAACGGGTTAAGGGGGAAATAAAACTGGTTGCCTGAATGGCTTCCTGGCCGAATAGTCCTAGGGCTTTTGACATGTTGGTCTAATACTTAGGAGAGCTCCCTCCAGTAGCCCATGAGAGATATCATGGAAAAGGCTATGTGGATTAGAGTGGGATCTAGAGAGTTGTAAGAGCACTTGCTAAATGGAGATGGCTACTTTTCAGTAGAGATATGCTAAGAAAGGAGCTAACTATTTCTATAGTTAGAGATGATATCCACCATGAAAAGAGCATTCCCTCATTTTTAAAATGAGTCAAGAAAAAAGTTAATCTATTTAGGTCTCATTTATTTTTCAAAAAGCTATTTACCTAGGTAATAAGTGAATTTACCTATGTTCTTTTAGTTTTTAGGTAAATTATACAGTGACTCTTTTATCCATAAAATGTAATCATTGAAATTGATAAAATTGTTTCTATACATTTTGTCAAATGTTCTTCTAGGTGGAAAAATTACTTATCCACTTGGGGGATGGTTATGATACTTAGGCCCCGTTCGCTTTTCGGTAGGTTACTTACCTGGGTAAATGCAGTTAGTTAGCTAAATTTTTCCTGGGAAACACTTACCCGAGTAAGTGCATTTACCCATATTCTTTTATTTCTCATGTAAATAAGACAATGACAATTTTAGTCATAAAAATCTATTATTAAAAAGGGCATTTTTGTCCCATTCAAGTTTTGGCAAGTTCCCCTTAGGTGAGAAAGTTATTTACTCACTTAGGAGATGGGCATCACTTACCTAGGAAAATAAACTTTCCCTGGTCCCCACATAAATCTGAAAAAAGAACATGGGATTCTTGGTCAATGGGAACCAACTTCCCCCCCACTCAAAATCTGAAAAATGAACGCCCCCTTAGGGAAAGCGAATTTTGTGTGAGTCTTAGATGAACACGAACATCAAAACAAACAGAGGAAAAACGGTTACTAGGAACCACAATCCTGTTGACTGACTTCACTCCTTTCAGAATCCTAAAAAATGAATGGGGCCTTAACATTGATTGATAGACTTTACAATCTGTGCTCTAGAACCTCAACAGGTCCTATATAAATTGGCCAGATAATTATTTTTAAACCCTAAACTTAACTCCTAGTGGAAGGGGGCACCGTAAGGCTTTATTCATAGGCAAGAAAAAATCTATGAGGTGGGAGGGGGGGACCTAAATACCTTACCCTAGCGAAAATCTATATACAATAGGGATCAATAAACATATATAAATATATACATGAACATACAAAAGAGAATTTACCCCTAAATACCTCAAATTAAGCCAACTAAAGAAAAGGGAGACCCAATCTATCAGAACAAAGCCGATATGATGCTGAATATCTGCAAGAAGAAGATCTTCATGAACAAAGATGGAATTAGATCTAGTGAAGAAATCCATATTTATAAGACCATCCACTACCTGGTTGCCTTCCCAAAGGATATGACTACAAGTGAAAGAATCAAGTCTCTAAATCATATTATTTAGTTGTTCATACCAACCAAAGGTTACGTTGCAAGGAAGCTGTAACGAGCTGTAACTGAACCCAACAAAGGATCCAAGAATCAACATAACCCTCAATGCGAAATATACCAAGAGCTAAAGCCAAATCAATGCCCTCAAGAAGCTCCAAGGCTTCAGCTAACAAATTCGAGGAGTCAGCATAGAAATTTGCCAGATATTATAAGGGCTTGTATAGATAGACATAGAGTATAAGAATTGTAGGTCTCTTGCAAAGTA